TGAGGATGTACTCTTTGCCTATCCTCACTCATAACCACGTTCGCGGGTGTGGGTGTTAGTCAAGCTAACAGTAACATCCACACCTGGACGTTCTTTTATTTATTGAGTTTTGATTAGTTGGTATTATAGAATTAATCATTAATTTAATAAAAAACAAACAAGCTTTTTGTACGCATTTATTAACGGATGACTCATAATAAATGACAGAACGTTGTGTTTCTTATTATGACTTCTAGATGTCTTTCATTAAACAAACAAAATATACAAGCACAAGATGCAGCGTAAAAAGCTCTACAATTTACATAAGATCGCTTGCCTTACAGTTGCATTTTTTGTTTTCGAAATAAACAAAATTTGGAACAATCAAATTTCAACCGTGTGAAATTTGATCACAAAGAATTTTTCTTTTTTTTTTGAAAAAAATTACAATCAGCTCTAGTGTGTAAATTGTAGAGCTTTTCACGCTACATCTTACGGTATATTTTGTTTTTTTTAATACAACCTATTTATTGGTTAAAATATCCTTGATAAAGATTGTATAATCTTTTACTTATGCAAAAAATACAGGTCCGTGTTTTTTTAAATATTCGAGTCATTTGTATGGTCATGAAGATTCTAGAATGCTTCAGAACCTTCTAAGTCTATCTATCATTACTAAGGTCCGTATTGGAACAGTTCAAAAAAAACTTTGATTCCAAAGTACACTCACTATGTTTCTTTTTCCGAAAATATACATATATTCCACAAAATGATATCATTTGACACCAAAATTGGAAAAACTCCTATTTTTTTCCTTATATTCAGTCTTGGAAGTTATTAAAAACAATACTTTTCATAAATTTCAATTTCTCGAGATTTTATAATTTATTCTTTGTCAAATTCTCTAAAAAAAACATTCATTTTAATATGGATGATTATTTTTGATTTGGTGCAATTGTAAATCATAAATATATTTATTGAAAGTTCAATCTCTGATTTATTTATTAATTGAATTAGAAAACTATCATTATCATATATAACAAGAAAATAAATAAATAGAACAAGTCTTAAAAAACTAAATTTTTACCACCATAAACGTAAACTGTAATTAATGTATTCAATAGAGTAATTATCAAGTAAATTCTTTAATTTAATTAAATCTTTTGTTTTTTCAAAGTATACTTCTTCAATATATGAAATGCATAAATAAAATAAATGTTGTGCTTGATTATGAGTTTTTGATAATAAATATTGAATTATTGATGATATATTTGTACTATATATATCAATTTCAAGATATTTTAATTTCGAAAATACATAAATAATGAATCGAATTTGATTCAATGAACATGTACCAGTAAGAACTAAATTTTCAATTTTATTTTTCTTTAATATATCTTGTAAAAGTATATTGTATTTCGTGAAATTTGAATTTATTTCTTGCAAAGAATATTCATCAAATTGTAATGTGTGTAAATTAGGTGTTAAACATAATAATTTAATAATTTCTTCGAATGGAAAACGACGAATGTTAATAACTAATTTTGTAAGTTGTTATAAATGAATTATCATCTAATATTTCAACATCATATCCAATAGTTAATTGATTAAAATTTGAAAAATAATTTCGAGAATTTGATTCTATTTTATGCACAATAGTAAGATGTTTGAGTGACTTGAACTGTTCTCTTTGATGATGTAAACCAAGTTTTTCATCTATTTCCATATAATACATATACATATAATATTTTCTTCTAAATAAATGAAATAAAGAATAATATCTATAATGATAAATGAGTAATTGTTTTCAATAGAAAGAAGCTATCGGAAGAAAATATTATATGTATATGTATTATATGGAAATAGATGAAAAACTTGGTTTACATCATCAAAGAGAACATTTCAAGTCACTCAAACATCTTACTATTGTGCATAAAATAGAATCAAATTCTCGAAATTATTTTTNTTTCGACAAATTCCTCTATCTCCCTCCCCCTCTATGGATGTTGGAGAAAAGACTTTTTTCGAAATCCCCATACCCCCTACAGGGTTGTTCAAAAAAAAATTTTTTTACATTTTCAAAAGACTTTTTTATTAAAGTCAATAGAGAATCGTGTGCTGATTTTTACTGGATAGAATTTATATCAGATGATGACTCTTTCCCTATTAATATTCGAACGAACTCGGGTATATTCTCTATGCAAAGGGATCATTTTTGGATATATTTCAATAAGGCTCTGCAGACTATTCTACAAGGTTCCTAGCCAATTCTTGCATAACTTTGTAGTACTATGTGTGTAATTTACAACCACACGAGCCCGACTTCTCTAAGATCCACTTCTAGGAATATCCAGCCCCATCAAAATCGTGATCTTGGTTAAAATCATGATTTTGTGGAAGGTCTCCTAAGCGATAGGAATTATCTAGAGAGCTGAAATTTTCACCAGAGTAGGTATTTCATGAGATCTGATCATAGCCAAAATTTCAGCTCACCATCATAATCCACTCATGAGATTGGTATATATGGATTGGTCTAGGTATTCACTTCAGGGCTCCTAAAGATGACCTTTGTTGCAAGCCATTTCTGGACGTCCTAGGCTGATTTTGCCATGAAGTTATACACCTCAGATGACTCTTCCAACTTTTTAAGTTCAGTTCTCAAACAATCTGGTTTCTTGGAAGAAAACCTCGTCTGAAAATCACAATTTTCATTAAAAAAAAAACATTTTTGAGAGAGTTCTACTGATCGAAAGGAAAGCCACTCAAAGCTAAAATTTTCAGGATATACACATCTCTACATACTCTGGCTCCAGTGAAAATTTCAGACATCTATCGTATTTTCATTATGAGTTATGTAGCACCAAAGTTACCCAAAATATGAATTTTTGCTCATATTGGATGAGTCATAGAAAATGAAGGACGCAATATTTTGACTTGAAATTTATATAGTAGCTATAACTCATAAAGATACATGTCCATAAAAAAATTTTCAGCTCAATCGGTCATGCCGTTCTAGAGATATGTCCTGTTAAGATCCTCCTTGTCCGAGATGCTGATTTTTAGTGCTTTTTGTAGAATTACCATAAAAAATCAATAGTTCAATATTTTTCAAAATGGCTTGCGTCAAAGTTCATAAAACTCTTTCTTCTATAAGAATATCCTAAATTGAGCAAAATCTGAAGACCTCGTTTGAGCGGTTCCGATCGTGGCTTACGTGAAATGGCTCATATTAGACAATAGTCAAGTATCTATTGTTGCAACACCTTAATATCTTATTGAACATTATATGTTACAAGGTGTTTTTGAAATTTTTTTTACCTCTTATAGCATAAATACTTCAACCTAATAAAAGAATTTTAGATATGTGTATAGCTCCTAGTGCAAAAGCAACATATATTGATAGAAAGAAAGTTTTCATTAAAAACAAAAAGTCAGTTTGTAAGAGATTTAAAATTAGATGTATTAATAAGAAATAATGGTATATTAGTAGTAAATGATGCTAATAAAATTGTGCAAAAGCAATGATTACTAATATGCATCGATTAGGTCTAACAAATACAATTGTAAGAAATGTTGAAAGAAGACATTTTTCTCAGGTAAATAGTTAACTAATTATTAGATGATAGAATATTTGAAAAGAGATCTTTATCAATTTTACCTTTTTTAAAAGAAGATGTATGGCTTTGATTTCAGAGAAAGAGAATGAGATTTTATTTTCATATTGATTTTGTCTAATATCATAAAATCTTGAATGTTTGCAGCGAGATTTACTAAATCGTCTGAGTTATTCAGGAGAATCCTGATTTTTAAATATAACTTCTTCGATTTCATATGAGTAAGAACGATAACTAACGAGGAAAATAATATTAAAGATAAGAATCAAACAGACTAGCCAAATTAAAAGTGAATTCAAAAAAATCTGCTTCATGTTACGATGTACAAACATCAATCACATTTCTTAATTTGACTTTTCTTTTAATTCATCTATTATGTTTCGCACCATAGACGAAAAAAAAAAAGATAAATGTTTATCCTTGAATTAATTAGACTAGTCTTTTGTTGATGCTATATTTTTTCAGCGAGGTTATCCATTCATTTTATTCAGTGACACCAACAAATATGAGCATACCCACATATATATATGTATACATGATAAAAAAAAGCATTAGTCAAACTCAACATGAATCAGTCTAACATTGATCTTCTTCATTTACCTAATGAAATATTATTTATTATATTAAAAAAGCTCGATAATATGGATGTTCTTTATTCATTGTTAGGTGTTGATAATCAACGACTTGACAGTATAGTAGAAGAAAATACTTTTACTAATACTCTTAATTTTGTATTAACAACACCAACTGATGATACTTTTTCGATTGCTGATCCAATACTTAATCGATTCTGCAATTCAATATTGCCAAGAATTCATTACAATGTTAAATCTCTTATTCTTCATTCAATATCTATGAAACATATTCTTCTTACTGGTGATTATCCTAATCTAACTCAACTTAAACTATTCAATTTTAATGAAAAAATTGTTTCAAGTTATTTTACAGGTAAATAACTCAACATACTAATCAGAGTAAAGATTTCGATGAAAAACTTTTTTATAGACTAGACTAGATAATATCTTTTTATTTAGTTGAATCACCTTTTCGACGTATTTTTCAACAACAAATTACAGATCTTATTCTTGTATTCGAAAAGGATTTTAATGAAATATCATCTGTACATTATACAATCGATGTCTATGGATATATTTTGAAATTCTTCGTAAATTTAAAACATTTATCTATTATTGGATTATTTCCGCATTGTTTTCCATTTGTACAATTTCGTGATATACCCTTAAATATTTGCTTCTCTTCAACTCTTTGTAAATTATCTATTTCTATTGAAAATCTTGAAGATTGTTATGCTTTACTTGATGGTCGTCTTAAACAATTAACTACATTAATTGTTGATATTATTCATTCAAAATATCATTCATCAAATATTTATAATACAGTAAGTTTCATATTTTATTAGATTAATCTTTTTTTCAACTTAAAATAAATATTATTGTTCACAGTCATCAATGTTATACTTAGTAGAAATAGATTGTTTACTAATGAATTACTCTTTATATTAAGTAACTATAATTAAATAGTTGTAAATCATATATTTATCTAGTTGAGAAGAAATAAATCGGATGATTGAATTTCATTTTAACAGAGAAACTTTAATTTTGATAAGTATTGTTACATTTATTGATCATATTCTTTTCTATTCTAAGACTGAAAATGATTATCTTCAGATATTTTGAAGATAGATATAGTTCGAGAAGTTGACATGAGATTAAACTTATTTCAGTCTAACATTCCCTTGGACACCTATGAAAAATAATCTTTACTTTTAGCTATTTTCGTTATTTTATAATAAACACGAATCACGAGTATTAAAAAGATAAAAAGGATAAAAATCAATAAACAATATAAAAGACTTGTAAATGATAGATAAGAAATAGAAAGATTATTAAATATAGAAAATATATTTTGAGATAACTTTTATTTGTTGTTAATCGATGAGTTGCTCGATAAAAATTTTAATGTAAACAGCATTTATTTGATTTAATTATTGATGATTTAATGTTATATCAATAGTGATGTTATATCTGATGATATGATTTGTTTCTTATCCAAATAATATTTTTCTCATAGATAACTATAATAATAACATTGATATTAAATTTTCGAGTTATTTCTTATATGCTGAATGTTTAGAAATCCAATATAATTACTTTAGTCATCATTGCAGAAGAAGACACGTATATATTATAGAATAGAAGAAATATTTAAAAATAAATTAAATAGAAATAGAATTTTTCTCAAGCGGTCATTCATCTGAAATTTGAATTTGTTATTTATGGATAATAATATATTTATAAATATTGTTTTATATTTTTTTCTAGGATAATCTACCTAATTTGAAATGTTTCTCTTTAACAACATGTTATTGCTCAACTGATACATATGATAATCGAATTTTACCTCTTTTTCGTCGTATGTTAAATCTTGAAGAATTAACTTTGAATATTACTGTTGTAAATCGAACTACATTTATTGATGGTACTTTTATTTATAATGAAATTTTTGTTCATATGCCTCGACTTCATATGTTTTATTTTTATATTTGTACTGATACCGAAACAGATCGTTTAGTTCGTCATTTATCTAAAGATGATATTCAACGAACTTTTACTAAGATTTTATTTCAAGAAGTGGAATCTATTGTGAACTACCCATGTAGTACTGTTACATGTCATGTTTTCTCATTACCATTCATGTTTGAGTATCTCTGTTGTATTGGTAATATATTTCCAACTATTATTTTCAATCATGTTAAAGACTTATCGGTACAAGATAAAGTTCCATTCGAACATGAATTTTTCATTCGAATTGCTTCATCTTTTCCGTTGCTACAAAAATTATCTATTATTAATCTTCGACCACAATCAGCAAACTCTAATGATAATCAATTATATTCAATTGTTAAATATCCTTATCTTATTTCACTTCGTCTTATGGTTGTTTATCATGATTATGTTGAACAATTTCTCAATGATACAAAAACACATCTACCCCGTCTAACTGAATTAGCAGTCGATGATAATCAATTGAAATTGGTCACAGAAAACTTTACAAGAGATACAACACGGCTCAATTGTATCAAAGTAAATAAATTAGATATCGATCAAACAAAAGTACAATCAAAAGATTTCTATATTTATTTTCCTTTGTTAAAACCTTGTTTTTTTTCTGAATAAATTAATAAAATGAATCATGAAAACATTAAGAATATTTTTGTAATCAAATCATATCGATGAGAAGCTAGCACAACTTGACGCATTATCATCAGTGGCAGTGCGAAGACATCAAAGCGAGACGGAATATTGTGTAAAATGGAAGAAAGCTCAAAAATTTTTCGGTGGCAAGAAGATATATTCTTGTAATACTTTGATTATTTGTTTTTCTCAAATTTGATACATTACTTCATTTTTTTTTTAGTAATCACGCTATTGGCAATACTGTTAGTGATGTTGAGAGTCTTTTTTATTTAAAAGGTTTTGACAATGTGAAAACTAATGTGAATCATTGCTAGAAATTTTTGTGTTCTAGAAGACAATATGACTTAACTCTACGCTAAACTCTCAAAAATTAAATATTCTTTTATATAAAAGATGTTAAGATTTTCGTTGATGCCTCACCAAAGATTTTTTAATAGAATCTTCTATTGTTTCTTGTCTTCTTAAGTTTTCTTTTAATAGAGCTTTTAGGTAATCATAGAGTTTTCATGACTTATTTGACGAATATTCCCGGAGCTTGAGAAAAATAAAAATCATCTTGATCTCAGCTTTTGAACATTTTCTGCAAAAAAAAAATAACCCTAAAAGAAGGTATATTTACACAAAAATATTTGACAAAGTCAAATTTTCGGGAGATTGATTAATTTAAAGAGTCGTTTATTGATCACGATACATCATTACTTTTCAAGGGTCTTGATTGCAACACAATGAATTACAATAGAACGATATTATACAATTAGATAGTATTCGTCCAGCAATTAGTATAGGATGTTATTACAATTGTTCACTACTTCAAGATGAACTTCAAAAACGAACGTGTTGAATTCGCTTTTATCCCATCTATCAGCAGTCGCTATGAAATGATACAAACGATTACACTCTCGAGAATATCTCAAAGAATAGAAGACCATGATTTTAAAAAGAGAGAAGCAATTTCAATTGACAGTAGTGATAGTGAAAGTGAAGGAAAGAATCAAAATAATGCTGTTCTTCGAAATGAAAGAAATGTTATAAATGATGTGTCACTAATTATAAATATTCTTGATTTCTTAGCTACAGATTTCGTCGAACTTTAATCTCATTTGGTATTGTTTTTTTTCTCATTTATTTGTTGGCTTTTATTTCGATTAATTAATTGTGAAACTAATAAGTGAAAAGGGTGGGGTGTGGGTGGGTGAATGTGTATCTTGGATATCTCTTCACACACACCCACACCCACACCCACATTAGACGTTTTTCTATGTAGAACTTTTTTGGTTCTCTCCTATTTTTTATTGTTAGTTGTCGTCCTTAAAGATTATCTTTGTGTCTTATTCATATATATACAGCGAACAAGTTTTGCAAGCAAGTGTCCGACGAGCAATTGTCCGTTTCCCACTGTAGGGAATAAATGATTCGCAAAAATACTAAAGAACTTATGTAAATGGGTGAGTCGATATCGTTTTTCTTTTTCAAGTTCATTTATCGACATCTTTCCTGATCTTTACAAGAAAACACATAAATTTTTATTTTTTTTTCTCTATTATTTTCCTCTCAATATTTCTGTCTTACTCTTTCGGTTAGTTCACATGATTGCTGTATGGTTCGGTCAAAAGCAAAGAAATGTGCTACTCTCTTAATTCGTTTGATGAATGTATATCTCTTGTAACTCTGACGAAAACACATAATCGAATATTCTTCTTTCCAATCTAAATACCAATCTTTTTGTTCGTTATTACTATACTTCCCAACGGGTAAATATTTACGTTGTTCTTTTTTTGCGAGAACAACGGTTCGTCTCAGAATAAGCTAGAACAGTTTGAATTCTAGATACAATAGTGCTGAAAATACATTTTCTAAATATGAAAAAATGTATACATTTCTCTGTTCAATTACAAATATTTATGATTGACTGATATCTATCATGAAAGGTGTTTCATCTAATAAATGTCTTCTTCTAACTACGAATCAATGTTTCAATGGTACCATCGTAAATCTATCTTTTTATTGTTTCTTTTGAAAAAATCCACGTGTATGATTTATTTTTGTCAGCGTCTCAAGTTGTGCAAGCTTCACTATATCATCAGAAGATATCTCTGATCGGTAGATTTGTGCCCAGTCGAATTCATTTGGTAAAACTTGAGCATTACCAAGAGCACAAAGGAGAGCACTAAATTTGATACGAGTTGTTTGATGAAGAATATAGTGATCGAAGTGCTTTGTCATCCATGTCCATCCGTCTTTTTTTGCTCCATCAGGCCAATATCCTTCGTACGATCGAGAGGCAGCCACATTATCAACAACCATTTCTAACAGAGCATCGTCAGGCATTTTTCTTACGAAATTTTGGGTCAATTTCGAATTATTCCTTAATTGTTTAGCTATTTGTGAATAGTTTGAAATGAAGTATTCGTAATGATGATCATTATGAGCTACATGATGTAACCAAGCTGCATGAAACGCATCATCGTCCTTTTGATTGACACCTTTCTGTCCACAAAAATGTTTTGCATAAGGCCAAAACTCGGCTTGTCCTAATTTAGATAAATCATGTAGAAGAAGTCGTTTGTACGAGATTTGATAGGACGTTGAATGTAGCAAACGATTTATTTGAAGACCAGCTATGATAATCAAATATTTATGTTTCAATACTTCCCACAAGTATTGAAAAAAAAATAGAAACAATCATCGTGAAATAATGGAAAAAAGACATATTTGTACTATTGCTGGGTAAAAATAAATGTTTTTTCTTCACCAATATAGAAGAGAACACGTTCTAATGTAACAATACACATAAATCGTGTAAGCTTTGTAAGAAAGAGAATACAGTACACACTTTACATGTATTTTTTACCGTATTGTCAAAATTACTATTTTGCTCTTTGTTTGGATCTCATTCTATCATCCATAGATAAGATAACAATAAATAGTTGCCAATCAGTTTTCTTATTCTTCTGTTCGACTCTTTTTCCATTGACTTATAGATGACTATGTCATTCAAAGATTATATTTTAGATGGTATTTCATCATTATTGTGCAATGACTGATTCATTTTGCATCAAAACCATGATCGAATGCAATATATTCCCACGCTCCATTGCATAAATGGTGGGTGTGGGCGTGTATAGGTGTGGGTGGATGTGGACTATTCTCCTTTAAACACCCACACACACCCTCACGACATAAGATCATTCTTTTTNTGATTGGATTTGTTTGTTTTGATTTAGAAAAATCAAAAAAAAATTGATACTTATTGAAAGAATAATAAGCATGATGAAATATTTAATTATCTGACGAAATTTAAAAAATACGCGTTGTATGTCTACATCAAAAAAATTTGTCGTAACTGACCGTGACCAGGTTCTGGTCACGATCACGACATGGTCACGATTTTTTTTTAGAAATCGGTCACGATCGTGACCGTAACCGTGACCGTGACCGTGAGTCACGGCAGTCACGGCGGTCACGCAGGAGTCTACTCAAGATAGAACATATTAGCAAGAAAATCGTATATTTTCACAATGAATGAACTAGTTAGATTGGATACAATTTGAACCAGAAATGTCTACGGCGACTGACAACCTATCGCTGCCACAAAGATTCTTCGAAAATCTCTTTCATCATTATGCTAAATTACCATGGTTAGATTTAATCCATTATAGATTCATCATGATTCTGACTATTGGATTATGTAGACATTCAAATCCATGCAATTTTTACTATCTCCATGACAAAAGAAAAAAGGTTAGAGTTACCGTCATGATCATCTCTAATTTGAACTCGAAAGTCAATTTTAAAGATCATTGAAAGAAAACTATAAGAACATAATTCAAATAATTTATTACAACTTATTCAATAATGAAACATGTGATTTAAAATTACTTGTAAAAATGTCGATGTTTCATTCGTTTTATCTTCTGGTCTACCATACCATGTATTTAATATACTTAAACAAACATTTTCCATCCTTGTATAAATTTGTATTAAATCTAACTGTATGATTTCCTATTGTTTCTAAATTAATTGACGGTGATCTTGTTAGATATTCATTTGGAAAATAAATATCAAATATAAAACATCGATTTGAATATACTCTATCATCAGGACCTGTTATTAATATATTTATAATATCCATAAGGTTTTCATCTTAACGTAGAAATATTGTTGAACTAAATAATAATGGTTATGATGTTGATATAGTTATTTGTTCTTGTGCTAAACATTTTTATTTTTTGCATTGATTTTATAATTAATGAATCATGTAGAATATCTTCATAATCATATTTAAGTTTTTTATTTAAATAAAATTTTTATTATTTGTTTCATATTCAATTATTATTGTATATGTAATAAATTGTAATAATTAATTCATATTTATTATTATTTAAATTTAATTATTTTTATAATGATTATTTTCAATTTGTTTATCTTGTTTAATTTTATCATAAATTTATTTTAATTTAATAGAAAATAAATTTAATTGTCCATCATCATCAATTTGTATAATTGATCTATATGTTGGTAGAGATTGTAAAAGATTATGAATTAAATATTCAATATTACTTGTATAATAAATTAAACTCTTTTAATTTTTCATTATTTAATAAACAATTAACTAAACGTAAACAATAACGATGTATATCACTTTATTTTGATATATCTAATGTAGAATCATTACGCAAAATATGATTCAAGTACAGATATAAGACATGATGTATTTATAATTTCAATTAAATTATCATCAAGTAATTATTCAGATAATTTATTTGAAAATATTTAAATAAATAACATGTTCTTCATGTAAATTTTTCTATTTGAATTATTTCATCAGACTTTCATTGTGAATGTGTTGAACTTGTAGTAAAACGTATACCTTTAGCCCAAAAATTCGAATTTATATTATTATTATTATTATGGAATTGTTGTTAATTCAATTTGTTCAATATCATCTTCATCATATTCATTATCATTATCATCAATTATTGTTTACAATGCGAATGACATATTATTGATGATAAACATGAAAATAATAGAAGTAAAATAAAATAATTTTTCAAATTGTAATTTTTATAATTGACGCATATGAAAATTTTCTTGATATTGTTGGAAGTAAACAATTTTGTTAACATAGTACGTGTATAATTTGGTAAACAAAGAAATATTGAAAACGTTATAAATACATAATATGATATTGTCATATTATTTGAAGAATTTGTTGTTGATGATGATGTTGAACATTGATTATATAATTGTATTGATAGATAATTACAAGCAAAATATTGTGCAAGAATTTTAAGAACATTAGCATGAAACAAATGTATCAAGTAATGTTGGATAATCTTTATTTGCAAGTATTGATTTATGTGTAATTAATTCATTTTCTTTTAAATAGATAAAATTTTTTTTTGTTGTTTGTTTTTAGTTAAAAAAATCTTCGAAATCTTCTTCGTTTTTTTATTTAAGTCTGTCATTTCAAAAGTAATATTAAACATTCTCAAATGTACTCTCTTCGATAAAAATGTCTCTGAAAATTATTTTGAATATTTGATAA